TATGTTTTTCTAACAGTTTTATAGTTTTGCATTTTACATTTAACTCTATGATCCAAATTGAGTTAATTTTGTATAAAGTGTGAGGTTTAGGTCATAATTCACTTGTTTAGCCTACAAGAGTCCTATTGCTTCAGCATTATCTGTTGAAAAGGCAATCCATCCTTTATTGAATTGCCTTTGTACCTTGTTAAAAATCAGATGGGCATGTATTTGTGTGGGTTTGTTTCTGAGTTTATTATTCCATTGATCTATGGTCCACCCCTCTGTAATACAATGCTATCTTGATTACTTATAGTTACATAGAAGTCTTAATAATGGGCAGAATGAGTCCTTTCACTGTATTTTTATTTGTCAGAATCATTTTAACTATTCTAGAGCCTGTGGTTTACCATACATACTTTAGACTAAGTTTGTCAATATCTACAGAAAACTTTCCTGGGATTTTGATAGCAATTGCTTTAAACCTACAGATCAATTTAGGGAAAATTGACATATTTATTATGTTGAGTTTTCCAATCTATGAACACAGTAAGTAGGCCTCTCCATTTATTTAGGCTTTTTAAAATTTCTTTCATCAACATTTTATAATTTCCAGTATAAACATCTTGTACATGTTTTGTTAAGAGAACACCTAACTATTCATCTTCTTACGAGTGACTGTAAATAGTATTGTATTTTTGTTTTGTTTTTTTTTTTTGAGACGGAGTCTCGCTCTGTTGCCCCAGGCTGGAGTGCAGTGGCTGGATCTCAGCTCACTGCAAGCTCCGCCTCCCGGGTTTACGCCATTCTCCTGTCTCAGCCTCCCAAGTAGCTGGGACTACAGGCGCCCGCCACCTCGCCCGGCTAGTTTTTTATGTATTTGTAGTAGACACGGGGTTTCATCGTGTTCGCCATGATGGTCTCGATATCCTGACCTTGTGATCCGCCCGTCTCAGCCTCCCAAAGTGCTGGGATTACAGGCTTGAGCCACCGCGCCCGGCCAGTATTATATTTTTTTATTGCAGTTTTCACATTTTTATAGTTAGCATATAGAAATGAAATTCATTTTTGTTAATCTTGTATCCTGTGACGCTGCTGAACTCACTTATTAGTTCTAAACACGTTTTCATAGATTCCTGGGGATTTTCTACAGAGACAATCATATCACCTGTGAATATAGTTCTAGTTCTCTGTTTTCTATGTGTATGTATTTTATGTCTTGTCTTTACTGAGACTTCATTGGTTATAACTTCCAGTACTATGTTGAATAAGGGTGGTAAGAATGGGCATTACCTTGTTTTTGATCTTAGGAGGAAAGCATTCAGTCTTTCCCAATCAAGTAGGATTTTGCGGATTTTTTTTTTTTTTTTTTTTTTTGTAGGTATCCTTTGTCAGTTGAGGAAATTCCCCTCCATTCCTAACTTGCTGAAATTTTTATTATGAATAAAATTAGATTTTTGTCAATTGCTTTTCTTTGTGTGTCAATTGATATAGTTCTACTTTAGCTTGTTGACGTGATGCCTAACTTTCAATTAGTTTTTGAATGTCAAAATAGCCTTGCATATCTGATAGAAATCACACTTGTTTATGGTATATAATTCTTTTTATACATTATTGGAGGAGGTTTGTGGATCTCTGGTTGAGAATTTAACATCTAACTTCCTGTGACTTGTCGGTCTGTAATCTTTGTACTGTCTTTTCTCGGTGTTTGTATTAGGGTAATACAGACCACATAAAATGAGTTTTTAAATGTTCTCTCCTGTTTTACTTACTGGAGGAGATCGTGTAAAATTGGTGTTAATTCTTATTTAAATGTTTGGTAGAATTCTCCAGTGAAACCATGTGAGCCTAGCCTAAGAGATTTCTATCTTAAGAGCTTTTCATTTACTAATTTAATTTCCTCCATGATTATAGGGTTATTCTGACTGTCAATTTCATCTTGGGTGACTTGGTGGTTTGTAGTTTCAAGGAATTAGTCCACTTCTTTTAAGTTGTCAAATATGTGAGTTTAATGTTATTCATAGTATTCCCTTGTTATCTTTGAGATGGTTGCAGAAACTATAGAGATACATCCCATTTCATTCCCGACACTGGTGATTTGTGTCTCCTCTCGTTATATTTTTGTCAGTCTTGTTAGAGGTTTATCAATTTTATTGATTGATTCTAAAGAACCAGTTTTCATTATCAATTTTATCTATTCTTTTCTTTTTCTATTTTCAATTTCATTGATTTCCACTCATACTTATTTTCTTTCTTTTGCTTGTGTTGGGTTTATTTTGTTCTTCTTTTTCTAGGTTCTTGAGGTAGGAACTTAGATTATTAATTTCAGATATTCTTCTTGTGTAATATAACATTATTGCCAAAAATTTCCTCACAGTACTGCTTTAACTGCATTCCACAGATTTTCATAGGTTGTATTTTCATTTTCTTTCAGTTCTATGTATCTTTAAAAATTTCCTTGTAGGCTTTCTTTCAACCCACAGATTATTTATAAGTATGTTATTCAATTACTCCTTGCTTGCTATTTTCCTGTTGTTTTTCTATTACTGATTTCTTGTTTGATTCCATTATGGCTGGGTATCACACTATATGATTTCAATTCTTTAAAATTGTTTGAGGGTTGGGCACAGTGGCTCACATCTGGAACTCCAATGGTAGGAATGTCGGGTCCTCTCTTATTGTCCCAAAGGTCTCTGAGTCTCTGGTCTTTTTTTCAGTCAATTTTCTCATTGTTTTTCAGATTTAGTGAATTCTATTTTTTTTGTCTTCAAGTTCACATATATCGTCTCTCATCTTCACTCTACTATTGAGTTCATACAGTAAGTTAAAAAATCTCTGTTATTGTATTTTTTCAGTTCTACATTTTCATCTGGTTCTTTTTTATAACTTCTATTTTTTCCCTCAGATTTTTAATTTTTTCATTCGTTTTAAGATAATTTATAACTTGAAGCATTTTATGATGCTACTTTAAAATCCTTGTCAGATAATCTCAAATCTGATTCATCTTGGTGTTGGTGTCAGCTGCCTGTCTTTGCTCCTTTGAGTTGAGATTTTTTATTTTGGTTCTTGGCATGAATGGTGAGTTTTTAATTATATCTTGGATATCTTGTCTGTTATGTCACAGAGTCTGGGTCCTATATAAATATTTCATATTAGCAGTCAGTTACCCTATTTAGGTTTAGCACATGCATCTCGCCTTACCTTATGGACTCTGGTTCCAATGTCAGTTTAATTTTCAGAGCCTTTCGTCTGCTTGGCTTCTCTGGTGCTGCTGGATATCCCATTGGTCCCTGAAGATGCTGCCTGAGTGGGAAGAAGGGCTTTCCCTTGTCGTGGAAATTGAGTTTCTTTCAGTGGGTGGTGTCCCCCCACCTGTACTCCCCCTATTCCTTGGTATTTCTGGGTAGGGAAGGCAATTCCCTTAAAGAGCAAGAACGTGGTGAGAAGAGAAGATAATCTAGGAGCAAGCCTTGAGGAACCTCAACATTTAAACATTGTAGTGGAGGAGCTGCTGGCAATAGAAAAGGAGGGACAGGATTGCAGAAGGGCTGGGAGTGAGTATTTCAGAAACAACAGAGGAGAGTATTTCAAGAAGGAGAGCATGGACAGCCATGCCAAAGGCTGTTGAAAAGTCATGTAGGATGAACACTGAAAAGTTTCCACTGGGTTAGGCTACATAGCGGTCATCGGCTAGAGCAATTTTGATGGAGAGGTAAGGGTGGAGGCCAGAGTGAAACAGTTTGAAAGTTTAGACGCCCCCTCTAGTTAAGGCTACCTTGGTAGCAAAGCCACATTTCCAGCATGGAAAGTGAGAGGGGAATGATGCCTAGAAATCAAAGGCATCTCTGCATGAACTAAGGAGGAACTAATGCAACTGTAGGAGAGGAGCAGGAGGAAGCTGCCACAGTCTGCATTAAACAGATGTGAGCTTCTCTGGCCCCCAGAATCACTGGCACCATCCTCCCGGGCTCTGCCCCATTCTACTCTCCAGTTCTCAGGGTCCACCACTGCTCACTGCTGCCCACACAGATCCAGCATCCCTGCAGCCCTCCCCTCTCTGCCAAGGGGTTACCATGCCATTATGGATTATCTGGCTCGTCTTCCCCAGAACTGTCAAGGTTCCCATTTCACCAACCAATGAATGCAAATGTTTAAAGAATATAACAGCTACTTTTAGAAGGGAATCATCTCCAGAATGATTTTAAAAGTCACTGCCTGTTATAGGAACATTCGTCGAGAGAAAAAGAAATCACCAATTTAGTCTCCCTGGACTGGACAGCAATTCTGAGACATTGGCTATCTAAATCATTTCCCCCAAACCCACCAAATGAACACAAAGAAGGAAAAGTAATGACTGTTTTTACATGTTTAGTTGGTGAGTTTTATCACAAGCACATTAAGTTTACCTAGGTTAACACAGATAGAGTAGAATTCTATTCATGCAATAAGAAGACTTTATAGCCATTGCAACTACCTTGCAGGCAGTGTACAAATACCCTTCTCAAGGACCTTTGAAAAGTGAGGTGAAACGGAAGGTGTTGAGATTATTCGCAAATGTGGGTTCTATTCTCAAACTGGCACCAATAAGATGGGTTACTGTAAATATTTGACATAATTATCTGGATCTTGTTTATCATTTGAAAAAGTGCATTAAATCATCCCTAAGGTGCATTTTAGCTCTAATATTATAAGAGTTTCCATACACTTTTACTATTTAAAATGATTAAAGAGTCATGGGCTGTAACCACTTGCTATTACCTTTTTTTGTTGTTTTTTAATTTGAGACAGAGTCTCACTCTGTTGCCCAGGCTGGAGTGCACTGGTGCAATCTCAGCTCACTGCAACTTCCCCCTCCCAGGTTCAAGTGATTCTCCTGCCTCAGCCTTCCGAGTAGCTGGGATTACAGGTGCGTGCCACCACTACCGGCTAATAAAAATTTGTATTTTTAGTAGAGACAGGGGTTTTGCCATGTTGGCCAGGTTGGTGTCGAACTCCTGACCTCAGGTGATCTGCATGCCTTGGCCTCCTAAAGTGCTGAGATTACAGGTGTGAGCCACCACGCCCAGCTTAGCTGTTAACGTTTTCTAGAGTTTACTTTTTGATCACAGCCCCACCCATAATTGTTAAATGCTTTCCATCGGGAATTGTGTTGTATGAAAGTTTCCAGAAAAGCAGGGACACTGCTTTCTCAGTCAACTGGCACAGCGATGGCCTACTACAGGTATGCTCCCAGTAGGAGCACCTGGCTGTCAGATGAAGAAGGTACGAGACAATGTGGGCTACTTTCCAGGGAAGCCTAACCCAGGCAAGGAACGACTAGCAGAGCTGAACGCTTGTCTGGCTTCCTCTCTCTCCTCCTGCCTCTCTTTTCCTTCCTTTCTTTGTGAAAGGGAGCAAAACAATACTGCGCGAGATAATGCCCGTAAACCCGTAAACCCTGGGCATTATCATGATAGCCCAGCATGGAGAAGCCCAGCGTGGTGACCCCCTGGGGGCAAAAGCAGCCAGCACAGCAGCCCCAGCCCATGGAGCATATTCCCATAGGGCAGCCTGGGAACCAGGACCCGCGTCATGCCCAGACTCCCGTGGGTGGGCCCAGTCCTCACTGCCTTCCCCCTTCTGTCAACTGCTAGCTAGAGGCCTTTTCCCCCTGCAGAGCCTAAGATGCATCCAGCCCATTCCAAGCCAGTCGCTTTGATACTGCACATTTTATTCCCCCTAAATATATTCACGGCAGCAACAAAGCTTTCAGCACAGAGCAGATGCAGTTCAGAGCAGAGTGAGCTGGAATGTGGTTTTTTTCTAGAGCCCGGACTTTCTGAGGCTCTCCTGGACATCATCTGCCCCGCAGCCTTGCTCCAAACCTGGGTGGCACATAGGTCCCAGGCACCCGGTGGTCAGACTCACATTTTTCTCTCTCATTCTTTCTGTTCCTTTACAGAGATTTCTCAGGATTCTCTTGTTCCGTTCCATGGAGGATCCTCGAGGTGGCCTATATTGTATAGAACCTGGATTGAGAGGCCGCTCACCCCACTGGGCAGAATGATCATTTCAAAATGGAATTCTAAGGGCACGTGATTAGCGTATGAAAGGCCCAGACATGGGCATTCATTGGTAAGTCGGCTGTGACAGCAGCCATCCCTGCACAAAACATTTTCCCCTTGAAAAATCTCACGCAAGTTCAAAATAGCTTTACACAATACTTGTGCTTCTCCCAGAGATGATTTTTTTCTTTTTCTTTTTCTTTTTTTTAATCCTTGACCTACTTTTCCTCTATGTGCAATATACCTAATGAGTAATAACGACTTCAGAGAGGGTAGCAGCAGGGGAAACAAAGCTGAACGAATGCCTTGAGAGAATGACTCTGAAGCCCTCAGACTCAACAGACTTTCTTCTCAGGGCCAAAACAAGGGCGTTCGTCTGAACTGCAGGTTTGCTGAAGATTCCTACGGCTGGATGATGTCCCGGCTACACAGTCAGGATATCACAGAGGTGGCTAGCAGCAGAACCAGACAGAGAGGCTGACACACACGTGCACACACTCACACTCGCACGCACACACGTGTTCACAAACCCACCCGATCCCCACCCAAGCTAGACGGTGCTGCAAAGAGAATGCTTTGGGGTCTGGAACGTTCACTGCCATCTAAAAATGCTCTTCTAAAACAGACTCTGTCCATGACGGGATCCGCACAGAAAGGGAACAGGCTTCTCCGCCTCTGGAGTCATAAACCCAAACCCCAGAAGGCTCGGGGGAGGAGAGAAGTGGCCGCAGACTTCACTCACACACCGCTCTCCAGTCTGTGCACAGGGAAAACAGCTGCTGCCTCAGCCCCTGAGCGTATGTCAGTCCCTTTGAATGGGAAATCAGAAAAGGTGTCCTTCTAAGCCAGAGATGGGATTCTTGGGAATTGCATGAATAAGCGTCTCTTCTCTCCAAACTATCAGCCACCTTTCTTCAGCAAGATTTTTGCCCCAAGCAGGCCTCCGTGATGGGGGGAACATGCAGAGCTGCACTTGCTGAGTCTCTGTCAGGAGCAGGCACTGGGCTGGGGTGATGTCGAACCTCGCAGACGAGTTCAAATCCCACCTCCGGCAGCTATGGGCTATGAAGTCCTAGGCAAGTCACCTTCTTGAACCCTAATTTCCATTCCTGTTAAAAGATGATAATAACATCTGACTTCAGTGTGGTGAGGGTTAGTGATAACTGATATGAAACCACTTCACACATTGAGAGAGAACGCTCTCGATAAATGGTAGCTATGGTGATAAGCAAGACACGGTCCCTGCATTCAGGGAGATGCAATTCGGTGGCCTTGAGGTCAGCTACAAGGCTGCTGAGATTGAGCTGGACCCTGAGTCTTCCTCAGCCCATGACTAGGGCCGGGAAGCAAAGCTGTGTGTAGCAGGTATGGCAGAATGATTGCATTTCAGCTCCAATTTCTCGTACCCAATTTTTCAGCAAGCAGTTTGCTTGACTTTACCCTGCCCCCCTGGCTTTTGTTTTTCTGGAACCCTAAGCTTCTCAAAGGAGAGAGCGAGCACGAGAGCGAGCGAGCACCTAGTTCTGGAAAAGAATAGGTTAGAGGCTCTCATGAGGATAGATCCTCAGAGGAGAAACACTGTGTCCTCCAGGGGCATGACCCCAGCCCTTGTGGCTGCCAGCATCATCTGAGGGCCCTGGTCCCTGTGGCCTGGAAGCAGCAGTCTCCCCGCCTGTAAAGGACCCCGTGCATGGAGATAATGAGCTCCTCAGAGGCAACTCCAGGACCTGAAGGGCTGTGGCCTCACCCCTATTTTCTGCCACTTTAAAAGCTGCCTGGTTCTTGTGCCACCCTGGGGGATGGAGGTTGGGGGGGTTGAATAAGGATGGAAAGTAAATATTAGGCCTCTAAGTCAGATTCAACTTGCTTATTCCCACACCTGTGCTCACCTCTGGGAGGCACCAGGTTCTCTTCCTGACTGAGGGAGCTGAGTCTTCCAAGGGCTTCTGTCTCCTCCGGAGGGGGGAGGCATATGCAGACCTCGGCTCCCCAAGCTGGGTCAAGGAAAATGACCTCTTTCCACACTTCAACTTCCTGGAAGCTCAGGGAAGTCAGGGCCTGTCTCCTGGCTTGGCAAACGCAGCAGGTCTCATTCAAATACAGCGAGACTACCCCTGACGGCCGCCTGCCCACAGTGCTCGTGTGGTAGGTACAAGGTAGGTACAAGCTGACTCCAGCTTTGTCCTCTCCCCAGCGCTGTGCCCATTCCTGACCCTCCTGGGCCAGCTTCAGGTCTCTGGGGCCAGGCGTACCCAGAGCACACCCTTGCTGACCCCTGCCTCGGTATTGGTGCCACTGCAGAGCCAGCAGGCAGGAGGAGCCAACTGGTAGGGGAATAGCAGGGCACAGGAGGGAAGAGGAGGAGCTGGAACATCTGCCCTGGGACCAGAGGTCTCCACGCAGAGAAGTGCAGCTGGACTAGTTTGCTAGGGCTGCCATGACAGGGTGCCAGGCAGGGCAGTTTAAACATTTATTTCTCCCACAATTCTGGAGGCTGGAAGTTCAACATCAAGGTGTCAGCAGGACTGGTTTCTTCTGAGGCCCCTCTCCTTGGCTCGCAGACGGCCATCTTCATGTTCTCCTAGGGAGATCAGTCATACTGGATTAGGACCCACCCTTGTGACCTCATTTTACCTTAACCACCTCTTTCAGGACCCAGTCTCCACATACAGTCACAATCGGTGGGTACTGGGGCTTAGGACTTCACCAGGTGAATTTGTTGGGGGACAACATTCAGCCTATAACAGGATCACTGACTGAAACCCTAAGGGGCTGCATGATTTTATTTTCCTCATGGAGAAAGGATCCAGGCCTTCTAGAAAGTTTGACCTTGTTTCTTCTTGGTTTGTTCTGTTGTGTAATTAGGGAAAACATTAGGAAAAAAAGGAAGGAGTCATTTTATATATATATATACACACACACACACACGCATGTGTTATCATTTTCATTCAATAAAAATATATATTTTTATTATTTTTTATTTTGTTTATTTATTTTTGGGAGAGGGTCTGGCTCTGCCACCCAGGCTGGAGTGCAGTGACGTGATCATGACTCACTGCATCCTCAGCCTCCTGAGCAGCTGGAACCACAGGCATGTACCACCACACTCAGCTTTTTTTTTTTTTTTTTGCCGGCGGGGAGTGGAGAGATAAGCTCTTACAATGTTGCCTAGGCTGGTCTTGAACTCCTGGGCTCAAGTCATACTCCTGCCACGGCCTCCCAAAGTGCTGGGATTATAGGCATGAACCACTGTGCCTGGTCTCTTGTGTGTTTTTAGTTGACTTCGAAGAGACCAAATAGCCCCAACCAGACTGTTTTCCAGCTACAAGTGAGGATAGGTTCCTGCTAACCGACTCTCCTGAGGTATCTTTTTTTTTTTTTTAGCCCACAGATCAGTGTCTTAACCCCACCCGCTCTGAGATCACCATTCCTTTCACAGGTTTAGCCTTAGACCACCCCTGCTCCCCTTCTCTCCTCCGTCCCTTCAGGAGGGGAGACCCCATCCCACCCTGGGAGTTGGCCCATGGAAGGATAGCTGATCGCACTCCCAAGTGGGGTTAGACCATCACTTTGCTACTTCTTATCTCAGCATCGGATCAGCACTTTCATCAGAATAGGGCCCTACTGTGTGCTCAATTTCCAAAACCTCTCAGATACGTTTGATCTTCGTGTCTGCGGGAGGAGGAAGGAAATGAACTTTTACTGAGCCTGCCCCACATTTTAGGTTTATTGTTAGTGGCTTTTTGCATCTGTGGTTTCTTTAATCATCATGTCAACCTATGGCATGATTGTGTATCAAAAAAAAAAAAGTTATTATTCTGTGTAACCCTCAACTCAGCCGCACCCTACTGATGTGCTGCAGAGCGTGGGGTGCAGTACCAGAGACATCTGAATATTAATCCACAGAACACATTGAGCTACAAGTCACGTTGATCTCTAGAACAAAGGGCATGGAGAGCTCAGGAAGAAGAAAATATTTGAGAGTGTGGCAGGGGCTGGTGGGGAGTGGAGAGAGAGCCGGTATCCTGCGGAATACAACTTTGAGGAGAGTTTTAGAAAGCCCTGCTAGGGATGGCTGGTGCATTCCCCTCCTTGCTTTGTTATAAAAGAAGATTTCTGACTTGCCTATTTGTGTTTCCTTGGTGGGTATCAGAGTTCAGGCCCTGGGCTTGTTACATTCAGGTACAGTTGCTATGAGCACCATTTTATAAATGAGGAAACTGAGGCTCAAAGAGATGAAGTCATTGTTGGTCAGTGAAAGACCCACAGATTAACTTCTCGTTTGTCTAACTGCAGTCACCTGACTGGTTCTTCCTGCCCACGGTGCAGACACAATCAGTTCACTGAGGTCGTGGCATTGCAATAGGGAAAGAGTTTAACCGGCGTGAGGCTGACCCACGTGGGAGAACAGGAGTTATCGCTCAAATCAGTCTCTTCAAAGGCTTGGCTATTAAGGTTTTTTGGATAATTTTGTGGACAGGGGGCTAGGGAATGGCTGCTGCTGATTGGTTGGGGATGAAATCACAAGGGTGTGGAAAATGGTCCTCGTGCACTGAGTCTGCCTCTGCGTGGGGGCCACAAGACCTGTTGAGCCATGAGTCATGAGTCCTGGTGGGGTCAGTCTGAAAGATATCTCAAAAACCAATCTTAAGTTCTACAAGAGCAATGTTATTTATAGAAGCAATTGGAAAAGTCACAAATCTTGTGACCTCTGGCCACATGATCCCTGAGCAGTAAGGGATTATAGAAACTATGCCTGTCTTGTCGGAATTCAGGCCCCTCTCATAATCCTAACCTTGTGGCCTTTCATTAGTTTACAAAGGTGGTTTAGTTTGGGGAAAGGCTATTATCACCTTTGCTTTAAATGTAAACTATAAACTAAATTCCTCCGAAAGTTAGCTTGTCCTATGCCCAGGAATGACCAAGGACAGCTTGGAGAGCAGAAGCA